CATTACAAAATATCATTATATATTTATATTTGGTGGGGATGCAAAGGCCGCGTTTACAAAATATTTTTTTAAAAACTACATTTTTACAATAATTAAAAAAAAAAAGAATAGGCAGAAGAGGAGGAGAAGGCTTCTTCATCAGTTGATGAGGAACAGGCAGTAGAGGGGCCATCCATATCATCATACTCGATGTGCCTGTAATCAAGTAGGAGGCTGATCTTATTATTAAGGGCGTCGAAATGAGACACTAAGTGGCAGAGGCCACAATTAATTACTGCTACTCTTTGAAGTAGCTGGTGGAGAAGACGAGGAGGGGGGGAAGGTGGAGGTGGCGGTGAGGAAGGCGAGGGAGGTGGGGGAGGGAGTAGGGAGGTGGAGGAGAAAAAGATGGAGAATGGGTTGGGATGGTTTTCTGCCATTTTAACATTGTAAGATTGCTGATGGTAGCAGACAAAGAAGATGGAGAATGAGAAGGATAGCTGGCTAATGAGCATAAATAGATAGTGATAGGACATGACTAGTGACCATTTGAGTTTAGATTACTTTGAGAAAATGAAGAGACAGGAGATAGGTAAATATTAAAAACTCTGCTTATCTATAATTACCCATATCATTTAATTAATAATGCACCGATTAGGTTAACGTTTGATGTAAAAAGTAATAATGACATCAGGTGTTATTATAACCAATTTCAAATTTGTATCATTATTTACAACAATACCACCACCTTATTTATTACACCATTGGCATAATAATTAGTATAGATTAGACGGTGTAAAAAGGTGTTTTCTAGTAGTGTTGACCATCTTATACGTCAAATCCTCCACAAGTTACTAACAGGGGTTGGTCCAAGTGGTAAGTAGCTTGGTATCGTTTAAGCAAGGTCTCGAGTTCGAGCCTTAGTATATGCAGAAATCCCCGTTGGGAGACTCACCCATCACAGTCAGGTGCGTGACGCAGGTCGGATCCAGATATATTCGGAGCAAAGTTCCAGTGAACTGGATGGGCAATCAAAAAAAAATCCTCTACAAGTTTGGCCACGACCTCAGTAATGTCCACAACCTCACGGGCCGCCATAGCTTTCCTAATGGACTCACCACCAGGCTTAGTTCCTGTTTTCTCAAGGGAGCGAAAAACTCAATCCTGGAAGTGGCGAGAAGTTGAAGAGCGCACCCTTTCCTCACATGCTGCCAGTACGGACCGCACGCGGCAAAAACCGGATCCCTTGCTGTCATAAGAAATATACCTGGAGGCATGGAGTTTAGGACGGCTAGCAAAAACGACGTTGTGTGCCTTGAGGAATAGTTCCGCAGCCTCAGGACGGAAACCACTACTGTAGGAACCTGCCCTAGCTGCAACGACATTATGGGTCCCCACTTTCTGGCCAATGCTTGAAGGGATCGATGTGGGGCTTTACCCAACATGTGGAGGTTTCTGATGATCGACAATGCCCTAGGACTTAGTGGCATCCTCCGACCATGTTTGCCTTGTTTCAGATTTAAAATGGTAGAAAATACTATGAATAAGAATGTCACAAGGAATAGAGCAGGAATAGCTAATGTTGAAGGCAACATGTTGATGTTTTGGGCTATTTGTGGGATTTGGATGATGACGGAGGGCTGGTGGGTATTTGTACATACCTTCTGTGATATTTAATTATCACTGTAAATTAGATCTTACATTTATGGTCGAAGATACTATTACATGTTCAAAAAAAAAAAATGATACAATCATAATATGAGGAGGCTTCATCTCGTCTGAATACTCATACGTGATGACGGCCTCAGCATAGAACTGATACAAAGGGACAATGATATCTTGCTATTGAGTGCCTGTTTTGAATAGCAGCAAAAAAAAAATTTATCTTCAATTTGATTTTTAAAAAAGTTAAATTAGATAAAAGTTAGATTAGATAATACAATTTATGTTTAGATTGGTTTTTAAAAAAATTAGAATAGGTAAAAGTAAAAGTTGTTTGAATTATAATTGAATAAGAAAATTTAGTTTGTAAAATTACCGAAATGGATATGACTTTTATTACACAATGTAAAATGAAAAAAAAATATCAATATACATAATACAATAATTTTAAACTATTTTAATTGGAAGAAGTTAAATTTAATTAAATAAATATATTTAGATTAAAAATTTTATGGAACATATTTTTTTACGAAAATAATTTCCAAATTTAGATTTAATTTAAATAAAAATTTTGTAATATATCAGAGGAGTAAGATGCCAAAAGGAAAAGAAAACTATCTCTACAAAATTCCAAGTAGAGAGCTGCTGAAAACGTGTGTTCACTGCCTCTTTTATTTAATTATTTTTTATTTATAATTTTATGGGTCCCAAATCTTTTTGCCTTTTCTTTATCTCCCTCCACGCTACCCACCCTGCAACGAAACTGGTCGAGTCTCTTGCCTTTGCTCTCGATGGTCCCACAGCGGCTAGGAGTTGGAGACGGCAAGCGCAACTTGGCAACGGCAAGAACAAATCGGGCGAGAAGAGGAAAGAAGTAGATGAAGGAGCAAAGAGATGGGGCCAGGAAGAGTGAGAGTAGAGTGGGGGAGAAGAGTAAGAAACTTTTTTTTTTTTTTTGAGTAATTATTGTTCTCACAATACCTTGCCGACCACCCATGGGCGCGATAAAAAAATAATAAGCAGCCCTGAGGTGTTTAACCCAATCGTACCTGGGAATCCAACTTCTGGCTTTTAAGTAACATAGGAAAAAAGCTCACCCGAACATGTCAGAATTTCTAAAACGTGTTTATGAGTTGGATAAGTTACTTTTAAACCACTCAAACGTATAAACAAACAAAGCCTAAGTCGGCAGCTGCATTTTCGAATTATTACCTTAATTTTAATTATTTTCATTGATAAATATGGAAAAAAAAAAAATCGTATCCTTATTGGAGCTGTATCCCAAGCATATATAATGTTCAAATCATGAATCATATTAGTGTGGCTTGATTAGACCGATTGCGACTCAACGCGTGTCAGGGATCAGTAGCAATTTCTTTTCTTTTTTTAGCTGAAGGATCAGTAGCAATTATTAGCACAAGAATATGGCAAGAATCGAAATCCATATCCTCCTAACCCTCCAATATATGCATATATATTTTTTCTTTTAATTCTGAGTGTTCTGAGCGGCAAAAACTATGATAAGGATCTTGTGCTCATTGTATATTCTCCATATGTAATCAATACACACGCCTAACGTGCATATGAGATTTTTCTTAACGGGGACTTAATTATGCATTTATCCAGTTTTTTTAATATAAGAATTATTTAATTAACTAGATTAAATTAAGAAAGTTCAGTAAGTTAGTTAATTATTAAAAAATAATATTTTTCTTAAAATATCGTAATTATCTTTCTTAATATCTTTCCTCCCCCTTATTTGATTATAATTAAGGAAGTATTAATAAGGACAATTTAAAAAAATTTGATAAATATGAAACGAGTCTTATATTTAGAACCAATATCAACTTAACAATTAAATCTTATCTTAGAGACTAATGGAATATATAAAGAGCAATCTCATGTTACCCTGTACTAATAAATAAAAACAATTTAGTCATCATAAAATTTATGTGCTCCCACGAGTCCAAAGTATGGAGAGAGCAGAGATAACAGAAGGAGAGGGAAAATTCCCTTTTCCTTTCTTTTTTTTTAACCAAGTGAAAGGAGAGGGAGTCTCTTCAACATTCTATATGTCCTCTTCCTTATAAATCCCTCCCACAAAACAAGCTTTTGGTTACATAAATGGATGCGTGTTGCAGGGTTTACCACCTTTGGTCTTTATTATAAAGATTTTCTATATGCTATGCTTGATAATATGACGTATCTTGCCCAAATTTAAATTTTAACATTTAATGTTCCAGACTAGCTACAATACTTCCTTGATCCTTGTACTGTTACCTGAAAATTTAGTGGCCGATTTGGGGGAAAAAAGGTCCAAATTTGCGGTTAATTACTAGATCCAATGGCATTGCAGGGCATAATTTACAATTAATCAGTCCAAAGTTTATGGGTACATGGTAGCATTTAATTTGCAAAAACAAAGTGCTCAGCAAAATTACAATTAGTAAGAGTGACCATGCTACTGTCGTGAGAAGGATTACAGATGGACCATGGAGGGGCCGTGGGGCATCGAAGAAGAACGACATCGTACAATTGGAGGAAAATTGATGTTCTGGAAGGCAGAAGATACCCTGAAAAAGAATGTCAGCAAAGGAGCAGGGCAGGGACTGCTAATTTTGAAGAAACCATATTGACGTTTTGGCCTTTTGCAATGAATATTTTTCAACCAGCAATTATTTCGAAATACTATTTTGAATATTTTTCCAATCACTAATTTCCAATTCCGACCAGTTACCCAAGCATCACCCACAGGCGCAAAAAACAGAGGTGCAGAATACCCTGTTTATTCCCTGTTTATCACTGTTTATCTTCATATGAGACTACCTAATACTAATAGAATAGGTCCAATGCACCACTCTGTCTCTTATTATACGTAACTTGTACCGTAAAAGTTTGTTTCAAAATATAAGTCATTTATAGTATAATTAATAATCTTTTTCCAATTTTACTTCTATTAATTTAATAAAAAATTAATTAATTTAAGTATGAAACAATAGTTTCTCAAAACACGTCCCTCTCCTTCTCCATCTACATCTCTCTCTCTCAACTTTTCATTTCCTATGCAGTCCGTCCCCTCCCTCTCCCTCTCTCTCTCAACTTTTAATCCAACACAACCACAAATACGGTCTTTATTGAATAAGGGTAAATGAGGAAAAACTGGTTAATTTATTATATTTCTTGGTTTGCAAGTTTGGGATACAAGTGACTTATAATAAGTAACATGGTAGTATTTTATTATTTTTCAAAAGCTCACGTCCTTATACTTGCCTCTGCTGCCTTATGCTTGCTATTTATCAAACTAGCCACTCTACATATCATAGTTATCGTACATCAGTACAGGGCACTCCAAACAAGCTTTAATTGGACTTAATGCGAGAAGTTGGCACAGCATACAGGTTCTTGGCTCTCGGGAGTGACAAGCCAAATTTCTCACTCATGTCCAATTCATTCGGATCCTGTCCCAACGGAAGCTCCCAATTAAAGCAATGAACCAATTGACCTACAACGAATTTAACTGTAACCAAACCCATGTGTATCCCAGGACATCCTCTGCGACCAGATCCAAACGGTATGAACTCAAAGTCAAGTCCTCGAAAGTCAACATTCTTCTCGACAAACCTCTCCGGACAGAAATCTTCGGCATTAAACCAGACCTTAGGATCTCTTCCTACAGCCCACATATTGATTAGAACTCGAGTGTTTTTCTTCACATAGTAAACCACCAACTACCGCATCCTCCGTTGACTCTCGAGGGGTCAATGCTCCTGCAGGGTAATAATCTCAGGGTCTCCTTGATCACCATATCTAAATAATGAAGCTTTGCTAAGTCTGTCTCTTCCACCATTTTGTTCCTTCCAACCACAGTTTCAGCTCTTTTTGAAGGGTTTTCATAACGCTAGGATGCCTGATTAGTGAAGATAAGGCCCACAAAATGACAGAGGTAGAAGTTTCGAATGCCCCAGCAATCATGTCCAGTGCAATAGCCTTAATGTTAGTTCGTTCAATGCCATAGTTTTGTCCGTCCACGGCGTGGTGTATCAATGAGAGCAGTATGTCTATGAAGTCTTGTCGGTCCTTTGGTGAGTTAATAGCATCTTCATGCTCTTCAATTATCTTCTCTAGTATCTCGTCAAATGCTTTACTGATTTTTGTGATGGCTCGTTTCAGTCCCTAATCGTATAGCACAACTTCAATCGATTTAGGGTCCAGTGCTATTTATTTGATTATATCTTCTCTCTTTAATATAAAAACTAGTTAACTAGTTTGAGTAGGATAAAAAAATTTGTTAAGTTATTTATTTATAATAAATAGTTATTATTTTTTATAAAATATCTTTATTAATCATGTATATTAATTAGAATTAATATTTGATGAAATCCCTAATATGTGCAATTACTAGAAAAACTATTTTTTTAAAAAAATAAATATAAAAAACAAAATTAATTACAGTCTTATACGTAAAATCAAATTAAAAATCAAATTCACTTGTATATCAAGAATACGAGTTAGTATAATTGAAGATCACTTTAGATATGAATGACCCTGCATATGTGTCCAAAGTCCAGGCAAAGTGACTCCATCGGATGCAGGGTATCTTATGTTGTTTTAATAAAGTTGGTTCAATCATGTCATTAAAAAAATTTCTTTAAAATAAAAAATGTACTGTGCTTCTAAAATTCGGGGAAAAAAAAAAAAAGGAAAATAAAAGATAACGGAGTTTATTTCATACCTGAAGATCAAATCGCCCAAGCCAAGGCACGACATCCGCCAGATTAAAAGCACCGGCGAGGCTCATTGCTTCATGAATATACACCTTCAAATCAAGTAAGTCAGCGTTGTGACACCCCAGTATCATCTTATAGACAATGTTCTCTACAACCCCAGACACCACCTGGCTAACGTCTACAACCTCACGCGTCGCCGCAGCTTCTTCAAGGGACTTGACAACGGCCTGCAACTCTTCCCTCCTCAGAGGAGCGAAAGACTCTACTTTTGACGCACTGAGAAGATGCAAGGTGCACAATTTCCTCATGTTCCTCCAGTAAGGTCCATACTGGCAAAATACGATGCCTTTGGATCCATAGGTAAGGATGTCGTTGGCTTGAAGCCTGGGACGGCTGGCGAAAACAGCGTCGTTGGCCTTGAGCAACGATTCGACGGCTTCCGATGAGGAAATTATCACCGCCGGTACTTGTCCTAACCGAAAGGACATGATGGGTCCGTATTTTCTGGACAAGGATTGAAGGTCGCGGTGGGGGAGTTGACCCAAAAAGTGGAGGTTACCGATGATCGGCAGAGCCGGTGGACCTGGTGGTGGCTGTCTCCCATTCCGGCCATCTCTACTGTATTTCCGACGCTGTGTAAGGATGAAGAGAAACGAGAGAAATATCACTGCAGGGATGGCTAGCGTTGAAGGATCCATGTGTGATGATTTGCCTCAATGAGATTGTCTCCGTCCTGTAGTGTTCCAGTCAAACTGTCAAAGTAGCGCTGGAGGAGGGGATTTCATGAGATCCGATGAGGCAATCCGACTTTGTCAATAAGAATATTTAAATGATTAATATTAGTCATGCATTAATTAGCCGCCTGAGCTGCTAAGCGTTCAAAGTTCAAACTTGAAAGCAGGCTCCCGTTGGAAAACAGAAAAATATCTCACATCTAGCTAATAAAACTAAAGTTTTTTTTTTCGTTGATGCTATTTACTTATTGTGTGGGACTTTGCAACTTTTTAATAACTTGTTTTTTTTTTACTTTTTTATTTCCAAGTAAAAGAAATAGTTGACCTGGCTTTAAAATTATCCACTACATCTAGTCTTTATAAGAGTTAATTTACTAAAACGTAGATTAAAAAAATTAGTTATTTTAATTATTTGTAATAAATAGGTATAATCTTTTCTAAAATATCCTTACTAATTATGTGTATTAACCAAAACTATCATTTGATGAAATATTTAACCTATGCAATTACTACAAGGATTATCTTAAATAAATAAATAAATATAAGAGACAAAATGGGTTGAGATCTTATATTTAGAATCAAATTGAATGTCAAACTAGCTCTTATATTAAAAATCAGATAAAGCACTTCTTGTTTGAGAAATTAATTTAGTTTAGTTCAAGATCATAATCCCTTTAAAATTATATATTTCCTAGCTTTTCATATTAATTCTTTTTTCTAAGTTATCCTTATTATTGAACAATTTTCACCGCCAAGAAAAAAGTCCAACTAATGAGAAATTTTTTTTTCTTGGGGAGAAAATCCCACAAAAGAATCTGGAATTACTAAATCTTAAATTAAATTTTTTTATAAAATTATATTATTATTTACAAGTTAATGTACGAGACATTTCTACTCGTTTACATGCCTTGTTCTCTTAATGTGTGTGGACCAGGCGATAAACTGAATTGTTAAATATTGTTATTGCGAGAAGAGCGCACTTATCACTTATGCACGCACAATATTTTCTTTGGCTTGTATAAGAGTTATGTCTAATCAAGTAGTACACTCTGACTTTAATATAAGAATTAAATAATCAATTTGAAAGAATTAAAAAAAAATATGTTAAGTTAATTATTTATAACAAATATATATTGACTTTTCTAAATCATTTTTCTTCAATCACATACGTTAAAACTAGACTAGATGAGAATTTTATGATCAATAGGGTAATTTTTGACAACATATTATAAATTTAAAAGACAAAATATATTATAATCTTATATTTAGGATCATCGACTAGCTCTTATATTTAAGAACCAAGATAGTAATAATTATATTGAAACCAAACATAAGTTCATTAAAGAGCAATAAAATTGTTTTAAATTTCGATCACTTTGTGAAGTGGAGGAATTCTTGTGGTGGTGAGTGGTGCTCTTCTGAAATAGTGTAATAAGTGTTTGGATGTCCTATCATCTAATACAAAATTGGAAAGTATTTTGGTTTAGTAGGTTGGGGAACAAGGCCGCTAATTGTCTAATAGCAAAGGCAATAAGGGGTATGGTTCCTACGGGATGGCTTGTGATACCACCATCCCCCTGGTTGCTGTGTTGGATGTTGATCTGGCAGAATGTTTGGAAGAGTACAGTGAAAGATCCGGTACCGGATGGATGCTTGTTTTAGTTTGCTTTTTGGTTTCTGTGAGTTTGTTGTGTTAGATTGTTTGGTGTTTTTTTTTTTTGAATGTTTGTTTTTTGGGCCTCTAGACTATTAGTAGTTGTAATCTTTTTTTGACTATTAATAAAATGGACTTTTTTTTTTTTGCTAACAAAAATTTTCGATCACTTTCCAATTTTTCATGTTCATATTCAACAAACGTCATCATTTTATACCTGCATGTTACCTTGGAATTTGTTTAAGAGGGTATTTCGTTTTCTTTTTTGTTTTTTTTTGGGGGGGTTTAATTAATAAGAAACGATTTATATTGAGGACCATAACTTTCTTTTGGGATATGTCTTATATGGAGTGTGGTCCTTCTATTCTCGAGAGTCGTAATTTATTGATTGTTAATTAAACATCAAGCTGCATAAGAAACTTTTAAGGAAAAAAATTACAGTAAAGTCTAAAAAAAAACTAAAAAATTCTAATAACAATTACAATAGCTTATAATAATAAATTTTAGAATAAAAAATTATAAGTTTTTGGACTTATTTTATTATTATTATTTTTTCACTTCAGTGTAATTCTCCCAGCTTTCAGACTGGGGCCTTGAGGACTGAATAGAAAAGGGAGAACTTCATTAAAGGGCCCCATAAACAACAAAATAGCATCAAGACCCAAAGGAATATGAAATTCTTCTGCAGACCCATATGTCATCATTTTCTGAAACCTTTTTATTATTATTATTTTTTTATGTTAATACTCCTCCAGTCTTTAATATATGACCCAATTATTAAGTTAGTTTTGATTCTAAATATAAGACCTATTTCTCATATTTATCAATTTTTTCTAAATTACCCCCATGGATACTTCCTCAACCATAATCAAGTAGAAGAAAAAGAGGGGATATTAAGAAAGATGATTATGGTATTTTAGAAAAAACGTGTCACATTTCTTATAATTAACTAACTTACCTAACTTCTTTAATCTAATCAAATTAGTTAAATGGGTCTTATATTAAGAATCAGAGGAATAACTTGAAATTTCATTACAATTAAATGTGGTGGATAACTTTGGTAAAAATAATGGGGTAGATAACCTATGACAGTTAGAGATTTTTTTTCTGGCCAATAAAAGGACAATTAGAGATTAATTTGTTAAAATTTGAAAATATAGTTATCAATCGCAAAGTTATTGAGCATGGCGTGAACTAATTTCTTCCATTCTTCCTTTATATTTCTTTTTTCTTATCAGGGTATTTTCATCATTTCAGATGAAAATTAACCTCACTTTATTCTATTGATCCTGCAGAAAAGAATTTTATATTCCTTTGAGTCTCTAATGCTAGTTGCTACTATCTCCGGTTCTAATTATAAAACCTCATTTATAGTACCGAGAGTAGTATTATGTTACTTAAGAGATATTTAATACTACTTTCGGTCCTAATTATAAGAACCAGTTGACTAATTTGATGAGATTAAGAAAATAAATTGAGTTAGTTATTTGTCCTAAATAAGTGTTGTCTTTCCTAAAATATTCTTACTAATCAAGTTATTGACTAGAATTATCATTATTAGAAGGGCTACTTTGAGGGAAAAAAAGTATAAATATGAGAGAGAAAATGGATTGGAGTCTTATATTTAAGACCAAAATAAAAGTCAAACATAGTCTTATATTAAAGACCAGAGGTAGTATGATTCTCGTAATAGAAAAAAAAAATGGTGGCTTTTGTATTTTCCATGATTTGAAATAAATATGCATCTTTCGTTCCACGCCAGCCAACACAGCACGCCCAATGTGGTCTAGGAACAGTTTGAAATACTCCCTCGTCTCTGAAAAATTGACAAGATAATTAATACTACCTCCGGTCCTAATTATAAAAGTCAGTTGGCTAATTTAAAGAGATTATGAAAGTAAGTTGAGTTAGTTATTTGTCCTAAATAGGTGTTGTCTTTCCTAAAATATCTTTACTAATCAAGTATATTAACTAGAACTATCATTGTTAGAAGGGTTACTTTGGAAAAAAAAATATAAAATATGAGAGACAAAGTGGATTGGGGTCTTATATTTAAGATCAAAATCTTATATTAAAAACCGGAGGTAGTAATAATTTTTTATTTCTTATTATGAAAAGGAGAAAGAGTTTTAAATGCAGCGAGGAATCAGATAATTTTTCAACTACATTCCTTAATAAGAGTAAAACAGGTACTCATGTGCTATCAATTTAAAACACATTTAATGACTTAACTAAAATTTCTTGATTTGTGACAAACGTCTCGCCTCGTATTAAGAACTGAGGGAGTAATTAATTTTACAAGATAAATTCCTCGCACAATTTTTTTTTTTTGAATGAAAGTGGGAGTATTAGTAATGACGCGAAAAGGTACAGGAGAGAAAAACTAAAGGAAACGATCCTCGCACAAATTTATTAACAAGATAAGGTGGTGCGACAATACAATGAATGCATTGAGGATCATCACCAAAATAGGATGGCGATTTTGTACAAGAAGCAAGAAAATATAATGACCAGTTGATCAACAAGGTTATATACACGCTTCTTTTAACCCATGATGCTGCCCTTTTATCTTCTTTCTATTGCGATTTGACTCAACAAATTAAATGGCTTCTTCTATAAACTGTGTTTCACTCTTTTTCTTTTCTTTTTATTGAGTTCGACAAGGTCAGTGCCCCCCACCGCGGAAATGCTAATCAATTTTTTTTTTGCCAGGGAAATACTAATCAATCACGCCTAACAAGTTAATAAGAATAGATAAAAGGGAAAGAACAACATTAGATAATACTAATGCGCTTTATTCAATAAACATAGCATTTTTATGGGCAATTACAACGAATAATTAAGTACAGATTTAAAATAATTTCCTTAACTGCATCACCAGCAACAATTGCAACTAAATCCTAAAATTTAGAGTTTAATAACTATGTTAATGATAGACGATGGAAAACATGTAATATGTTGGCCTAGAAAAAAACAGAAAATGAAAGAAAACTAAAATATTTACTCACAATATAAGTCAAATAATTCATCAAAATGTATTTAACTCATTAAATCTGTCTCAATTCAATTTTTTTAAAATTTTACTCAAATTAAATAAAGCTGTGAAGAAGAGAGGGTTGCAAGAACAAAATTGACAAATAAGCATTAATTACTCTTTAAATAACTTATATTATGAACTCAAATTTTTTTTTTTTATAAATGTGACTTATATTGTAAATCAGAAGGAGTAATATTAATAAGAACAATATTTGCACGAGTTACTTATATCCATTATGTTAAGTTCTCTAATCATTCATGATTATGTGTTATA